ACCCTTAGGAGAACTATGGGGGAAAGCGCTGACCCCATAGTTGTCCTTTAAGTTAATGAAAGATTACATTGTCACAACGTGTGCATTCTATGATCAATAACAAAGAACCTCTGTCAGGTGTGAAGATGTATCAATTGTCCTTATAAGAGCCAAGAGGTTGTGATGAGCAATGGTTTGAGCGAGGTGTTTATGAAATGGTATCTTCAATGATTTTGCTCTTCTTGGGTAACATCGTCCTCAACGCAGTCCCTTGGATATTGTCCATGAGAAGAGTTGGTCCGGTGAAGTGAGCAATGAAAGCAATGAAAGTCCTTTTCAATGCTTAACTGAACATACTGAAGAGAGATTCTGATTGGTTACTATGGACAACTGCTCCAGATTCTTTCTGCTCCAGTTTCGATCAATTCCCCTCATAAGGATCTATTCCACATTAGTTGGATAAAAAGGAGGGGATCCAACGTTGGTGTATTCCACAGTCCTGCAACCAACACTGAAGGAACAGGATTCACTTTAAAAGCACAAAAAAAACCATCGTAATTTCTTCTAGAATCCTCATGAAGTGAGTAATGGGAAAACAGCCCAAAAAACTCCAAACCTCTTCTCCAAACATCTCAGACATGTGAGCATCAGCAATATACACAGCCTGGCTAAATAAAAAGTTGCACACTCTAATATTTCATTGGACAGCCTTTAGCTTTGATTACGGCACGCATTCACCGTGACTTTGTTTCGATAAGCTCATTCATTTCCATCCAGAGTTGTTTTCATTTTTCACCAAGATCTTGTAGTGATGATGGAAGAGTCGGACCTCTGTGTAAAGTCTTCTCCAGCACATCCCAAAGATTCTCAATGGGGTTAAGGTCTGGACTCTGTGGTGGCCAATCCATGTGTGACAATGATGTCTCATGCTCCCTGAACCTCTCGTTTCACAATCTGAGCCTGATGAATCCTGGCTTTTCTTCTTGGAATATGCCCAATGTGCCATCAGGGAGGAAAAATCCATTGATGGAAAAACCTGGCCATTCAGTATATTCAGGTAGGCAGCTGACCTCATTTTTTGGGCACATAACATTGCTGAACCTAGACCTGACCAACTGAAGCAACCCCAGATCATAACACATCTAAATCCAGGTGGTGACTTATTCTTGGCCAGGCCGTGTCCAATGGTATATACAACCTATAAACCAATAACTGTAGCATGTCAGTAGATTATACTTATTTATAGCTCAGCCTCCAACATCTACCTTTTGTTAGATACACTGCCCGGCCCCAAAAAAAGTGACACACTGGATTTTGGGCAGTGTTATGATCTGGGGTTGCTTCAGTTGGCCAGGTCTAGGTTCAGCAATGTTATGTGCCCAAAAAATGAGGTCAGCCGCCTCCCTGAATATACTAAATGACAAGGGTTTTCCATCACTGGATTTTTTCCTCCCTGATGGCACATTGGACATATTCCAAGATGACAATGCTAGGATTCATTGGGCTTAGATTGTGAAAGAGTGGTTCAGGGAGCATGAGACATCATTGTCACACATGGATTGGCCACCACAGAGTCCAGACCTCAACCTCACTGAGAGTCTTTGGGATGTGCTGGAGAAGACTTTACGCAGAGGTCCGACTCTCCCATCATCACTACAAGATCTTGGTGAAAGATTAATGCAATTCTGGATGGAAAATAATGTTGTGACATCGGTGAATGTGTGCCGTAATCAAAGCTAAAGGCGGGCCAATTAAATATTAGAGCGTGTGACTTTTTTTTTGACCAGGCAGTGTATATTCACAAAAATATAAAGATTTAAATTATAACTTTCCATCTTCTGAACTTCTCTGTTGGTCCGGTGATGGGTGGGCTGGGTGACCAGAAAGGAGTCTTGGTGGGGGGTGTAGGACCATTCTTGACTTATGCAGGCAAATTTAGGCTTAAGTTCAGCCCCTACATCTCTGTATCATTATTTTCAAAAGCTTCATTCACACCAGCATGCGTCCATTAAGATACACAGGCTCAATTCACAAAGCTTTACATCAGGATAAGTATCTTTTTTTTTTAGTCATGTGACTGTCATTTTAAAATCTCATTGGACTGGGCCGAAAATAACTCACTTTTTCATAATTAAGTGTTGTGAATTTAGTGTTTTGACTCGCTGCCTGGTTTCGTGATTGGTGGATAAGCTGACCAATTAGGAAGCCGGATGGTTGGCCAGAAAGCCGGCTTCATGCTCCCTCGTCACCTGGTGAAGAGGAAGCATGGAGACGGCTTCCCTGCTAATCAGGAAGCCGGGTGGTGAGTCATTACACGGCGCCTGGCTTCCTTATTGGGACTTCTGGTATCGGTATTTGGTATTGCGAGTACTGAAAAAAAATATCGGTACTTGCACTCGATACCAAAAAACCTGTATCAGTGCATCCCTACTTTACCCCCTTCTCCAAACTAGTGGATGAATGACTGCTGGCAACTGCTCTGTCCCTTGTGATCTTGTACTGGACAGGAAGTTCAGGGAAGCGGCTTCAGCTAACACTTTTTGAGCAATTACAGCAACATTTTTTTTTCCATTGGGATAAAGGTTTTATATAAATAAAAAAACAACCATTGTAAGCCCCCCCGCCCCCTCCCTGCAGTGTTAAATGGTTTGCCCCAACCCTCTATCTTCCATTGTTGCTGGACAGCTTGGCCTGTTGAAGGAAGTTAAAAAAACAAACTTAGTGGACGGATCACAGGGGGAAATTAAAGGATAAAAAACCTTAAAGGAGAACTATGGGGTTAAGACTTTTCCCCATAGTTCTCCTTAGGGTAACGGGAGGACACAAACTAGCGTCCTCCCGTCACCCTAAGCTCCGTATACCGCAAGCTGTAGCTCGCGGTATACTGAGACGCCGCAGCTGAAGCGGATCCCGACAATTATGCCGGGATCCGCCCAGCTGCGTGACTGACAGCTGGCTCTGCCTATCTAGAGGCAGAGACAGCTGTACCCGCCCCCTCCCCCGTCCGTTCCGCCAGTCAGCGCTTTTGGGGAGGGGGGAATCCAGCCCCTCCCCTGTCACGGCAGAGAGACGTGACAGTATCGAGAGGTGAGCGAACGCCGGTATGTGTTCGCTCACCTCCCAATCTACTGAGCCGACCTGTGACAGTCTCATTGTCACAGGTCGGCTAGAACTATGAGGTGAGTGAAAAGCACTCACCTCATAGTTCTCCTTTAACAAAGAAAACCAATGTAGCCAACACATCTAAGGATTAGTAAACTGCAATTTATTACAGTTTTCATTTGGCTTGAGCTGCACTTTAGATTACCTAGGTAAGTGACGGGCGTACTTCAAGTGCAATCCCAGCTCGATAAATATGCCCCGATGATACAACATCTGCCATGTTTCTTGTGAATGTATTTGCCGTCACTCTGTGCATTTTATGACAGTTATATTTTCTCTTTCCATGCAGAATATGTATGGGAGCAATAGAAAGCTGTAAGTATATATATTTTGGCATATGTTTATTATTAATTGCTTACTGGTAATCATTCAGCCCACGTACTGTAGTTCTGTTTCTTCTTTCAGGTCTTCTCTGCCTTCACAGACTCCATGCAGATACGGTAACGTAAACGTCATTGGCTTTGAGTCATCAAATGTAGTGCTGGTTAGAAGATCTCATGGAGTCAACGTGTTTTGTGAATGTAAAGGGAAAACTGTTTTTTTGGATGCAGTAGGGAAGGGTTAGACCAGGTGTGGGCAGACTCCAGCCCTGCAACTTCAGTGAAACTATAAATCCTATCAAGCATCTGCCTCTGGGTGCAATGCCTCATGGGACTTGTAATTCCACAACAGCTGGAGGGCTGGAGTTTGCCCACTCCTGCCCTACAGCAGGGACGTGCGGTGAGATCAGTGGCAGGGGAGGCACCCACCCTGGCCCGCCTCGTCCTGCCCCAGGCCTAGTCACCAAGCTATGTGTTCATCTACTTCCTTGCAGAGCAGTCCCCGGCTGCCCGAGGGGCGAGGGAGGAGCCTCCCTGTCTCTCATTTGCTCACCAATGATGAGGTATCTAGATGGATGCCGTTAGTGTTTTTCTGGTATGTAACCAAACATAGCTTTTAAAAGCCTGATGAAGCGCTGCCGGTAATTAATAGACAGCTCTCCGTCCATGACAGGTTACACAGTGGGCAGGCTTTTTCACAGGTTCACTTTACTGCCCCCCTCCCAATCGCACAAGCCTTCTTTTTGCTCCTTAGCTGTTCTGTATGACCGCCAGAAGTTAAGAGAGGAAGCCCTGTGTAAGTTCCAAGGTGCTCAGACATCCAGCACTGCCACGTTGGGGGAACCATCTCTGCCCCCATGTCACAGTGCTGGGTACCTGAGCAGCCAATCACCCAGCACCACTGCTATTACATGGCAAGGGGTGGGGACAGGAGGTGGGTATATCACATGATACCTATACCCAGAGGTTCTGGATATTTCTCTTTGTTTTCAGCATCTGGTTGGGGATCGAACTGAAGGTAGTTCTGAATGTTTTTTCTTTAAGCAAAGTAATATACTGTTACCAATCTAAGGTATATACTGCTTCCATAGACACATGTACTTGCTCACATAGGAGAAGAGTACAGAGAAGTATTCTCCCTAAAACAAGGCAGATTCTTTGACGTTTTACATACCTGACAAAGCTCACAACTGCTGAACCAAGCTACAGGTAAAACCAGCTAAAGGTAAATATAAGCTATAGGTAAAGATAAAGCTACAGCTGCCATTAACTTCTAATGGCACCCCAATCACGGCTAGCAATCCATGCGGGTATGGGCTGCATTTCTGCGGGTTCAATCGTGCACAAACTCGGCCGCAAAAACTCACGGGTCGCTTGTCACAGAAAAAGGTCTATGAGTCTTTTTTGCCGCGGTTGTTGCATGGATATAACACCATTGAAATCAACCGGAGCATGGCGGGTAACAGCAGCACCATATGCATTGCCATGCAATATTTTAACTTCAAGGAGAAACAGACAGAAGATTGATAGATCTTCGCCATGGCAGCTGTAGCTTTATCTTTAAGGCCTCATTCGCACAGCATAGAGTTGGGTTGTACAGATCCATGCAGCGTGCTCGGCCGTATCGGACCATTTCCGGGAGGGACAGACGCTGCGTATGATTGCACGCAGCAGCCTGTTCTTCCCTATGGAAGGACGCGGCCGTATGCTGACATACGCACAGCCGAACTGCACATCCGTGCAGGTCTGGGTGTCCGTGCTCGGACGCAGGCAGGATCCAGGTCCAGTACGGAAACCCGGATCCACATGGATGTGCAGCTCGGGTGTGTGTATGGACGCGTCCTCCCATAGAGAAGAACGGGCTGCTGCGTGCAATCACACGCAGCACCTGTCCCTCCCGGAAACGGCCCGATACGGCCCTTCACGCTGCACGAATCTGGACGGGCGACTCTAAGCTGTGTGAATGAGGCCCAACTGTAACTTATCTTATCTTTACCTTTAGCTTCAGCAGTGTTTTGTCAGGTATGTAAAATGTCAATAATTCTGCATTATTTATGGCAGAATACTTCTCTGTACTCTTCTTCTATCTGAGCAAATACATGTGTCTATGGAAACAGTATATACCTTAGCTACCTTCCTCTATACCTATACGCTAAACCCTAACCCTGCGCCCACCCCTTGCCACCCCTCCTATTCAACCATGGAGGCTCAGCTCCACATGTGGGTATTACCTAGGGCTGTCTGCATGCAAATGCAGTCTGACTAGGAACGCCCACTCCTCCAGACTGACACCCATGATGGCATTTTGATATTTGCATAACTCCCCCCCAAGGTCCAGCCCACCGTTTACATCAGGGCTGAGGGCTCTTTAGAGGAGTACTGAGGTAGGGTGTTGTGATGTTATCAGATAGCCATGTACAGCCCCTCCCACCAATCATGTTCTGCCTGCATTGGATAGAGAAGCACAATTGGATAGAGAAGACCCAATGATGATGTCTCTGGGTCTAAAATATGGTGTGCAATGAAAATGGAAAGGTTTTATTTAAACATTTTATTAGCATGAGGACTAGAGAGGGCAAAATGTAGACAGATTAAACTTTAGCATCACTAGAGCTGACATAGAATCTTTTCTGTTTTCTTTTCAGAGAATGAAGTGATAGAGGTAAGCGTCTGCTTCAATCTTTATATTGGTTGTCTGTGGACTTGTCTTTATTATCTCCTATACTTGCTTCTCTAGGAGGATGAGGAGGATGACTCTGACTTGTATGAAGCCCCTCCATGTGATCTGCAGAGCAGAACAGTCCCTGGTATGTGGACACCCCAGGACAACCATAGCCAATATTTAGGTAGGTGGATGGTGTATTAGGATTATTTATTTTTGTTCATTAAATGCTTATTGATTTTCACATTTTCAAACAAGGAACGCAAATACAACATAGTAGCTCAATGTGGGAGTACATATCGGTCAGTGTTGCATAAACAAATAAAAGTTACAAAATCCAACTTAACCACTTGAAGTCCGCGGTGTTAAACCCCCTTCCTGGCCAGGCCATTTTTCAGTATTCAGCGCTGCGGTACTTTGACTGACATTTGTTCAGTCATGCAACGCTGTACTGAAATTAATTTTATAACATGTTTTGGGGGGAGATAGAGCTTTCTTTTGGTGCTATTTAATCACCACTGCGGTTTTTATTTTTTAATATATTAAGGAAAAATTACCAAAAATGTAAAAAAAAAAACAGTTTCCCCTAAATTAAATGATAAAACATTTATTATTACCCAATTTTTTGCTAAAATATAAGAGATGGGGGTCACGTCGGGTAAATAGACACCAAACATGTGAAGCCTTAAAATTGCTTGCGAAACCTCGAAAAACTACAATACCCAAAATTGGCCATAGGCCACGCTTTAAAAGCTTTTACGGCTCATCAGTTTAGTGTTATCAGTGATTGATGGCCCTAAAATGATTGCTCTCACTCCGACGTTCACGGCGATATGTAACGCATCGAACGCATATTTTTGTTTATATGTGCGTAAACGTGGGGGACTTAAACATTTTTGGGGGTTTTTTAAAACTTTTTTTATATGTGACTTTTATTTTTTTTAACTTTTTTTTATTTATTTTTACACTTTTTGTTTGCTAATAACAATCCCCCTATATAATAGCAAAGGCACACTGACAGGTCCTCTTTATGGAGACATTAAGGGTCTCTAAGAACCCTAATGTCACCTGGGGACCCCCAAAGAAGCTGAGATCTGCTTCATCAGCTTCTTCTCTCTGGCCATAGCAACCAGATGACTGACAGGTGAAGGAGGAAGATGCTGAACTCCCTCCCATCTTACCTCCTGACGCCCTCCCGAGCCGGTCCCGGGCCGCAGATGGGCTAGCGGATCCCAGTATTGAAGGTGAGGGGTCAGGAGGGGGCGGCACTCATGGCGGCGGTGGCACTTGAGGAGGGGGGGGGCGCGCAGCCAGCCAGCACATACATACGATCGGTAGGCTATAGAGCCGCCGATCGTATGTATGTCAAACAGCCAGTAACGACTGTAAAAAACGGGCTAGGGGGCGCGCGCGAGCAGAAAAAAAAAGCCGCCCGGAGACGGCAACCCGCATATGTGGGTCAGCCGTCTGTTTTTTCACAACAGGCGGACGGCAAGGGTTAAGGTGCGCAACCATTTAAGCACCATTGGGCTACCAGGAAACATTTCAAAAACTTTGCAAGATAAAAAAAAGGGTGGATGAGCATCGCTGAGGCCCTTCTGCACTCGAACCCTGTCAAGGGGACTCAAAGTAAAGTATTGAAGAGAAAAATGGGGGAGTAGAGCAGGGAATAAAAGTAAGTAGGAATGGCAAATGGTAGGGAAGAGGAACCAGGCCTACAAATATGTCAGTGACATTATGAGTTATATACTCAAAGTACAAAGGAGGTATATTGGAACTCAGAGGACTAGCGAGTCTTAGCCCTCATTCACACTAGAAACGGCCCGCACGTACAGCTCCGTGCTCCGTGCAGGGACGTACCGAGCAGCTCCTGGGAAGGACAGGTGCTGCGTGTGATTAGTACGCAGCCCCTGTCCTTCTCTATGGGACTACGTGGCTGTACGCCCCCCTACGCTCTCCTCAAGTGCATGTAGGAAACAATCCACAGTTCCCAAATCTTCTCGAATATGGGAAGGGTATCCGACTGGACAGTCGACATTTTCTCAATGAGCTTGACTTGTGAGACCCTAAGCTTGACTTACGAAAAGAGGACTGTGGGGGAGGGCTAGGCTCGTGTAATCACCCGCCTAGCTTCAGTAAGAATATAGGTAACCAGCCGAAACTGATTTCTTGTGCAGACCACCGTTTTCTTACCAAGTAGTGCCTCAGTTGGGTTATTGCGAAACGACTGCCCTGTAACAGTATAGATCAGTTGATACCACCTAGACCAAAAGCGGCGGATCCTGGTACACTCTAGAGCTGCAGCTAACGATTATTTTCAAAATCGATTAGTTAGCCGATTATTACGTTCGGTTAATCGGATAAACAATAAAATACATTTTAAAAAATTGCTCCAGTACCCACCAAATGTGAAGAAAGGAGCCTTCAGCAGGACAACCCCTAAAACAGAACGGGGACCTGGAGGGAACTGAACGGGATATGCGATTATTATTTATATTTTTATTATTAGTTTATAAATTATTATATTTTATTGGTGCAACTGCTGACCCCTGTAACTTGGGACTCATCCATTAAAAACAATGAACATTTAATACTTAAAGCTGAACTCCAGGCAGGAAAAGTTTCACCCAAAGAAGTTGTAAAGTCCTAGCATATCCTCTCCTGTTATAACATCAGCATTGTAATAGGAATACATATTGGAGTTGTCTTTGATAATGCAATCAAAGCTTACTTGAAAAAATCCCTTTTATGTAGTGAGTGTTGGCTTCCGTCTGCCCATCACTTTCACGAACTTCCTGGATCCCCAGTGTTGCAACCTCCATTTTTCAAGGCTACATATCCCATCATGCATTGCTTCCAGCAGCAGCAAAGCAATGATGATGTTACATTGTTCAGACATTGAGTTGTAGTTCAGAAGGCAGGCCCTGAGAGTGGTGACACAGGAAGTGCATATTCTCAAGGCTGAGTGGAATGGTGTCAGTGCATTGAGAAAGTACATCCTATGGGGATCTTCAATAAGTAAGTTCACAAACGTCTAGATGGATTTGGTTATTGGGAGCGGAATAGAACCTATGGAAATTCAGTATAGAAACACAGATTTATGTTTATTTTGTCCATAGAGACCCTTTAAACTGTGAGCACAGCGTGTTGTATTTTTAAAGACTACATATAGCAGCATTGTTCTGTTGCCATGGCCGGTCAGCACATAGAGTGTGTTTGTTATGGACTGACTACTTTGTGTACATAATTTTAGTTTTTGGCTGTAGATACCCTTTAAATATATTCCTTGGTAGCCACAAATGCCTTTGTGAACCCAGATATTACTATACAAAAGTAGCAGTGACCAGAGGCATCCCCAGGCTGGGTGTCACCCAGTGGGACGTCATCACGCGCACACATGATGTCGCGTGCACTTAACTGCCGACAACCATCTAGGTGATGGACGCCGGCAGAGAGAGGAGGGGACGTTCATCATGCAGGATAAGGCATGTCGCCGGGTCCCCTCCTCCGTTGTGCAGCTGTCGGACTCTTGGTTCATGACCGAGTGCCTGACTTTTCAGATGGGGTGACACCAAAATGGCGGACAGTCAACCCCTGTGATTGTTAGAAATACATTTTTTGTGGCCGTGTACTTCAAAATAGAAAAACTAAAAGAGAGCATGATTTCACACCCCAATTCACAGATAATGGCTAGATTAAATAAATTTCACCTTAAGGTGTGGAAAAACCCTAGGGGAGGGGCTTTTAAGAAATACTAGAAGCTCTCTTGTATATAAAAATTCGTAAATTCATTTATTGACATAACATGATTATTTGATAATTAAAATTCCATTTTCTAAAACATGATTTTTCCATATCATTGTTAACACAATAGATTCATCACATAATTGGTTAGTAGAGCATGATTAACAATAGGGGCCATCTGAATGAATTGTTAATCATGCTCTACTAACCAATTATGTGATGAATCTATTGTGTTAAAGGAGAACTATGAGGTGAGGTGATTTCCACTCACCTCATAGTTCTAGCCGACCTGTGACAATGAGACTGTCACAGGTCGGCTCAGTAGATCGGGAGGTGAGCGAACACATAGCGGCGTTCGCTCACACCCTGACCCCATAGTTCTCCTTAAACAATGATATGGAATAATCATGTTTTAGAAAATGGAATTTTATTTATCAAATAATCATGTTATGTCGAAAATCTGAACTGCGCATGCGCCTGCCCCAAGATCTTTTGCGGCCGCCCAAGACTTTTCAGATTTTGGGACGGGAGCGCGCAGTGAAGACACAGGTAAGTTTTAACCTGTCTGAAAGGGGTTTTAAAAAAAAAAGTTTTTGCATATATCTACTGCTTGCTAGCAGTAGATATATGCAAAAAAACCTGAGTGTTTAATAACCCTTTAAGGTGCTTGAATGTATGTTTAAGATTTAACTCCTGATTGTAGTGTCACTTTAAGTAGGAATTGAATTTATAGACCAGGGGTCGACTGATTATCGGTTAAATTTACCGATAAACACTGTGCAAATTTCAGCCTGTTGAGGAACCGGCCAAAATTTGCACAGTGGGTACCTCTGTGCAGCCGCCACCCCTCAATCAGCTGATTGAAGGAGGCTGTCGGAAAATCTATATATGAACAGAGCTGGCAGCCATTGAGCTGCCGTCCCTGTTCGGGTATTCTGACAGCGGCCGCAATTTAATAGCCAGTCTGCTATTGGCTATTGCGATTTGAAATAGCCATTAGCAGGCTGGCTATTGCACTGCCCAGTTCCTGCTGTTCACATTCAGCTACTGGCACAGCTGGATGTAAACAGAATATTGGTACCTGATATCGGTTATCAGCCTGAAAGGTGGCCCATAATCGGCATCGGTTCTGAGAAATCCATATTGATCAACCCCTATTATAGACGTGTTGCTGTTGTAGTGAGCTTTGAAATAGAATTATTAAACAACAATAGCTTTGAAACGTTTATTTTCCTTATAACTCCTCTGTTTTGTCTTGTCAGAGTCATCAACAGCAGAAACCGCGTAAGTTTGGTCTATGTATCCTTTTCTTTAAAGTTTTAGAATATGGTAGATCCCATCACATGCCTGACTGGAAAAACCCCAAAGTGCAGGGGTGCTGGAGCGACCGCAGATGCCTCTGCATGTCAGAAACTGTAATTGCTAGAAAGTCACTCGCACTCCAAAAACTTTTGTAGTCAATCTTCTTTATTGACCATCAAAGTGTCACATAACTTTAGCGACGTTTCGAGACCGTCTGGTCTCTTCTTCAGGCAAAACAAAAGTTTGGTCTATGTATCCTTTTCTTTAAAGTGACACTAAACTCAGGAGTTGAATCCCAAAAATGCATTCAAGTACCTTAACTATTAAAATGACATTAAACCATCAGATTTTTTAACATAAACCAATACTGTAATGTGTGCCTTACTGCAATCCATGGTAGTTTCCCTTCTCTTTGCTGCTCTTCCTTTTAAATCCTCATGTCTTCTCATGCTGGGGGAGAACTTCCCTTTGCAGCTGAGTGCCTCTTCCTGTAGTGCTGGCTCAGGTTGTGATCCTGCACGCAGACACCATATATCCATTTCAGAGACAAGGCAGTCTGCTGCAAAACAGAAGTTCTGCCCAGCATGAGAAGAGATACGGATTTAAAAGGAAGAGCAGCAAAGAGAATGGAAACAACCATGGATTACAGTAAGGCGCACATTACACTATTGTTTTATGTTAAAAAATCGGAGGGTTTAATGTCACTTTAACACAAATGTAGCTACATAGTAAAAATGTGCTGGCTCCATCCATCCAGGAGTCTTCCTTCCGCAAATGGTTGCAGGTCATGATCAATAGTTGGAGTCATGCAACCATTTGCAGATGAAGGACTCATGGATGGATGGAGCCAGAGGATTCGGTTGCCCTGCATCCCGCAAATTTTTACTATGTAGCTACAATATATACACCAATGGCAGCCGGTGTCTTGCATCCTCTAGCAGATGTTAAAGAAGAGCTCCAGGAATTTGAAAAGTTAGCCTTTGCAGTGGGGCTACCCCCGTACAGCAAGGGTTAACTGCTTGTTTTTTTTCTAGGAGCGATTATAAAGAAGATACACTCACCTGATCCTCAGTCCTGCGGCAGTGACCGGTCACCTCTCTGCCCCTCCGCTCCAGCTGTAATAGAATAGGTCCCTTAGCATCTTCACATCTAGTACACTGTCTTAGGCGTGATGACATCATGGGTCCTTAGACTGCCGGAACCCGTAGGAGAAGAGGCTGCGGTCTAGCAGCCAGGCAGAACTGAGGATCGGGTAAGTATTTCTTTATTTTCACTCCCTATAACGACCGAGCAGTTAACCCTTGCAGTGCAGGGTTAGCCCCACTGCAAGGGTTAACTTTGCTGGAGTCCCGCTTTAAAGCCTAACTCCAGACACAAAACACACCTCTCCGTGCAGTAGAGCTACCCCCTCATTGCAAGGGTTACATGCTTGTTTTTGTCTAGGGCAGGGGTACGCAACCTCTGCACCCCCGCTGTGGTGAAACTGCACATCCCAACATGCCTTTGCCTCTGGGAGTCATGCCTGTAGCTTGAAAATTCTTGTAATGCTCCATAGGATTTGTAGTTTTAGAACAGCTGGAGTGCCAAGGTTGCGTACTCCTGGTCTAGGGGAGTTCTTTAAAACAGTTTTACTTACCTGATCCCCGCTCCCGCTGGCCACAAGACCAGCTCCTGCAGCCTCTTCCCCCCCCTCCGCTCTGGTAATGAGGCCCACACTGATGTCATCACGTCTAAAGCAGGGCCTATAAACTCTACTTTAAAACCACCAGGGGGAATGTGCTTTAAAGAATCCCCACTCCAAGGGGAGTGTCCAGAGCTTTAAAAACAACCGCATGTCCAGGGACCCCATAGTGGCCGAGAACCATATTGTGGGTATTTATAAGCTCCTGGAGGTTGGGGTTGTTTTGCACAATTTGTCCTGGACTACAGTGCTTGGGTCCAATACTAAATGACATCACCATAGTAAACGAGTAATTGTATTGCTGTATGATCATTATGAAACTCAGTGGCTGGTTTTCCATACACACTGTTGACAAGAACAGCAGGAAGAGCCTCTGATGACTCCTGCTGCTCCACACTGACTACAGTAACGATAGCCATCTGAAACCTTGTCATCAACAGCAATGATGTCTGGAGTCTTACATATTTCCTACAATGCAGGCTGTAGGGACCACAACACAACCTCAATAGTCAGTGGTGAGTGGTGTCCTTACACTTTTTGCTGACTGAGGCCGGGGGGGAAGGAAACGGGGGACAGAGGGTCGGGTGCTTGGGTGTGTAATGGTGGTGCATATAACGGGAGAGGGGGATGTTCCTAGTGATGCTTTTTACCGGCAGAGGAGGGGAGGGGGTGATTGGGTGTACTTTACCTCTGTCCGGCATCCCATCAAGCTTACTGACGTAATTGGTTGCCAGAGAGCTCTTGACGCTCTGGCTGGAAAGGGGGCAGCAGGTCACAGGCCCCACATGACCCAAAGAGGTTTCGCCTCAAGGCCCTGTCCATACTGTGTTTCCCCAAAAATAAGACACTGTCTTATATTTTTTTTGCCCCAAAAAAACACACTAGGTCTTATTTTCAGGGAATGTCTTATTTTGTTTACGGTACAAGGTACGGTAATACAGTTAGGTAACAGAAGTCTATGGCTTAGTGCAGGTAACCTGCAGGTGCACAGTGCTGCTTCTGGGAATCAGTGTAAAAGCAGCCCAATATGGTAATCACTTTTGTCAGAGTGTCAGAATGTCCACTGTCTTTTATTTACTGACCTTAATGAGAATAATACTGTTGCTCTCGTTATTTTCCTGCTGGTCAGTATCGGTAAAGCAGATTCCGTTCTTTCACAGGCGGAGTGCATCTGGTATCGCTCCGCCTGTCACAGTAACCGGCGCTATAGACGAAGTAGCGGCTAATGCGGCTCTGCTCCCTGCGCTGCCGCAGCCATGCTTTCTACAGCTTCCTTTGCCATCAGGGACAGTGGTGCAGCAGTGGGGACATCAGACCAAACTAGGTCTTATTTTCGGGGTAGGTCTTATATTACAGGAATCTTGCAAAATAGTGCTAGGTCTTACTTTTGGGGTAGGTATTATTTTAGGGGAAACACGGTAGTATCACCACTGACTGAAACAATCTTACAGCTATGTTTACAAAACAAATGTGTTCTACTTAAGTATAGTGGGTTATAGAACATATGGAGCAGCTAGCGGCTGTCATTTGTATCAAAAATAAATTGTTATTTGTCTTCTTTCACAGCCCTGAAACAGGCCAGGCCTCCACCACCCTGCAAACGTTTGGTGCCTCTGCCCCTTCCTGACCGCAGGATGTCCCTTCCTTGCCCTTCCTTATGTTCTCCACCACCAGCCTTCACCAATTTCCCCCGAGGCATGGACGGTAAGATAGGCATAAATGGCTAGTTCTTTAGAGACATGGTAACCTCTTCACCAGGGACCACATCACTTACATTTATCACTGGTGTATTCAATTATTGGTAAATGTTTCAAGCTAACATTTGATAATATGAATAATTTAATTAGGAGACACAGGGAGAGAATCAATATAGCAAATTAGAAATCCTCTGTGATGGTTCTAATGCTATTACCAACACATGCAACACATTCAGGTAGTTCTTAATAGCGACAATTTTACATTACTTTGCACTAGGTGCAACAAATTCATAAAGAAATAATAAAGTTTAAAAAAGATCAGTGTCATTTTTGAGTAACGTGTTATAATTAAGGAGTTTGTTCCCCCATAGTTGTTGGTTGCTAGGATGCTGGTGGCCCCTGAGGTCACCAGTGTCCTAGTAACTACTAATGCTTGGCCCTGAGGCTGCTGGCATCCTAGCAACCAATCAGGCTGACCACTTGATGTTGTTGGTTGCTAGGAGGCAGGTGTCTTAGCAACCCATTATGAATTATACCTTGCGTACCATCGCACTCCTGATCGATGAGTCCCAAAGAGTCTAAGGTGGGTGCTGATGGTGCCGCACTTATGAAGAAAGAGAAGCAGAGTCACCGACACTCCAGCTGTGAAGCAAATATGTCTTTTATTGTTGTATGTCCATGTTATCACAATTGCTTTGTGATAACATGGACCTGCGTCAATAAAATACATATTTGAATCACAGTTGGAGTGCCGGTGACTCTTCTTCTCTAGCAGCACATCGGGCACAGCTGGACAACATCATTGGTTGCTAGGAAGCCAAAAGCCCGGAGGCAGCCAACATCCTAGCAACCAACATCATTGGTTGCTATGGGGCTGCCAGCCCACTGAACCTGAGCCGCACAACGTCCTTGAGACCTGTGCACAAGGCAGGCTTTGCAGCAAATTTAGGTACATGTTTCTGACATGTACATAATTTGTCGCATTTACCAACATTGGTCTTTTGGTGGCGCAGGCACTCTTCTAATGAGTGTCTGCACCAGTCTTTATGAGATCAATAGACATTATTTAAGGTAAATAGGATTTTGTAGGCTATGTTTAATGCGCTAACTTCCTCCTTAGTATTGTTATAACTTGCTGATGACATAAAGCAGTGAGTTACCTAGCAGATGACATGCTCTCACAGACACCATAGAAGGGTCAGACATGGAGGCATGATCTGGTATTCCTAGGAAGGAGAGAAGGAGGGAGGCATGAGCAGTCAGATCGATCAGATCTTTGCAGAATGGACAGCCACAGCTTACAGCAGGTACCATAGACTAGTAATGTAAAACATAAGGCTGAATCGAAGGTGCTTATCTAATAATAAATATATTGGGGTTGATTTACTAAAGGCAAATAGGCTTCACTTCACTTTGTAAGGGAATTCTGACTTAGCTGAGTCAATGTGGTGAAAATGTACTGTGCAAAGAATACCCAATCACATGCAAGAAAAATAAAGAAAATATTTTTTGCTTGCACATGATTGTATGGTGGAAGTCAGCAGAACTTCACCTCATTCACTGAGCTCATGGAAAATTAATCTGTAATGTGCACAGCCTATTTGTCTTTATATCAACACCATTGGTTAGTGTTGTTTTTAGCGCTGTTACACAGAAGAACTTGTCTGTAGGCTCAGTTGTCCTTTACAATGGATATACACAACACATAAGCAATTGCACTAGGGCTGCAACCAACGAACCAGTTAATCGATAATGAGAATAGTTGTCAACAATTTTCATTATCGATTAGTTGGCTGTATCCCCTAACTCTCCTCCATGCTGGGAGGAAGGCACAGCATGCTGTGGGCGGGTGCAATAGCCAGCCTGCTCTTTGCTATTGCAATTTGAAATGGCCAACAGCAGGCTAGCTATTGCACCAGCCCACTACCTGTTGTATTTACATTCAGCTGTCGTCTGCGGAATCTTGCCACTGCCAGCTGTCATTCCCTGTCTGAAGCTATTCAAGCGCCATGTGCTTACAGTACAAATATTTTTTAAAAATGATAAAATGTGGGAAAAAAGTAATTTTTGGTTTCGACCTGACAAATTCAGCAAGCGGGAGGTGTGGTGCAGTGCCATTCATTTTAATGGCACACCAAACGTGCCTCTCACCCACAGTGTGGTCTTCCACACTGGAACACACGGTACCACAATGCTGTGCGTTCCAGTGCAGTGCAATTGCAAAAAAATTGTGCGTGCAGTTTTATTTTTAAGTAAACTGTATGTTTGTAACGCTCCATTTCTGTATTTTAAATTAAGGATGGTATTTGTTCATTTTTTTAATCTGATTAATAAAAAAAAAGTAATCGGCCAACTAATCGATGATGAAAATAATCATTAGTTGCAGCCCTAGATTGCACGGTCCTGTAACAAGCATTTAGGAATGACTTCAGACCATTTCAAACTATGTTGCACTGTTGGTGGTCCACTTGGACAGAAGATGTAAATTGTCAAACCTCTAACAGTCATTGTTATTGTCACAGCTCGACGATGTTCAATTTCCTAGAGCAGAGGAACCATTTTACTTTTCACCCGTCTAACGTTTCTTTTTTTTTCCGTCTCACATGCCTCAGAAAACAGTTTGATCTTTTTCTGATAATGTCTTTTCTCGTGGAGCCAAAATCTACCACCCAAAGGTGGCGCCATGTATCTTTACTACCCAAACAAAAACATATGTTTTAGAATGTTCATTTATATTGACACTTCCATCGCACGCCAAACTGGAATACAGGAGTTGTAGGGTATACTGGTGGATGGTGTCCCAGCAGTCAGAACACCTTGATCTTCTGTAATTAAAACCACTGTTTTTGGTGTCCATTCTAGTCTGCACACCAAATGCAGACTAGAGCTGCAGCTAACGATTATCAAAATCGATTAGTTGGGCGATTATTAAGTTTGATTAATCGGTTAATCGGATAAAATACATTTTAAAAAATGGCTCCAGTGATGGGACTACTAGTTTGTATTGAGATTGTAGTCCATCACAGGAGCAAGCTTGGAGCGGTGGAAGTAAAAAAGAAAAAAAAAAGTTTGGTGTGCAATATAGTGAAATGAAAAGTATAAAATTATAGAGCAATGAATGCAGAATGGCACCGGCTATAGAGGACTACAAAACCCAGCAATAGTACATTATACGGCACAATGCAGAATATCACCAGCTATAGAGGTATACAACAAATCCCAGCAATAGTACATTATAGCTGGCGGTATTCTAGTCCTGGTATACCATTGCTGGGTCTTGACAACTTTTTCAATCATCGATTATAATCGATTATGTTGATTAGTTGTTGCAGCCCTAATGCAGCTCAGATCTGCATGAGTTTCTGCACACGCAGTGCAGTGGGTTGTGCCGCTTTTTTGTATGCGTTCCTTTCCGGTTTTTTTTTAGTTTAAAATGGGCTTTCAGTGCGTTCCAGGGCGTTTGCATGCGTTTTATATGCGTTTGCATGCGTTACAGAGCAGGTAAAATATTGCTTGCCGCAGTTTTTTTTTACATGCTCTGGAACTGAACGCTGCAGTGTGAACTAGAGCCCAAAATACCATTGGAATACATTGGACGCAGTTTTGATCCGGTCTGTAACTGCTCTGCTCCTGGAACGCGCTTGGTGTGAACAAGGCCTAAAATAGAAGAAAGGGAATACTAATGGTAAATATCATGCCATGTAAATGAAATAAGTAAACTTATGGAAATATTCTGTATGTTAACATTTCGGTCAGTGATTAATTTATTTTTTACTTGCTTTCTTGGCAGATTTGTATTTGACACTCCTGGAGACTTCGGTAAAGTGTACACACTGTTGTGAGGAAAGGGAACAAATAAGTGCTGAATTTATACTTGGATCTATTAAATAGGTTATGCCAATACTCAGAGGCATACTAAGACATACCTGTGTGACATGCATAATGGACCGTTTCTTTAATACCCTCCTCCCCTATTTAAAATTATTTTCATTTATAATTATTAAATTAGACAAATAATAAAAATAATAATAAAGGTCAGAAAAACAACTTGGACATCTTACATTGGTGGAGAGTCTAAAAGTGCCATGTCACACTGGAGGCCATTTTAGCCTGTTACACCGGTGGTCAGTGTAGTACCCCCTTGTCTTTAATTGGTTGTTGGTGCAGTGACCCCCTCTATACCGATAGAGTGTTGCTCCCCTTTAAATTGGTAGTCAGTGTATTGCTCCCCTTTAAAATGGTGGTCAGTGTATTGCTCTTTTTTTCAAACTGGTGGTCAGTAAATTCCTCCATTTCAAACTGGTGGTCACGAAATTGTCACCATTTTAAACTGGTGGCCAGTGAAGTGTCCTGCAGCAAGAGCTAAAAAAATGAATTGGTGTTAGTGCGTCATTTGTATGAGAAGCTCTGAGCACCATACTGATGGCTTATTGTCCTGGCTCTGACAAATCAGCACCAGAACTATGCAGACACCATGAGGGAGGTTATCAGTCTGCCCAACAGTGTTTGAGAATGTACAGTGTCATTGACAGAAAGTGTCCGCACATCAGTCTATGAAGGTTCTCATTTATCCAGGTCATGGTATAGCTCATAGTAGTTGGCCACATTCACCTGGACTTGTTCTGCAATGTTGAAGACATTGCTTAAAGGAGAACTATGGGGTTAAGGCTTTTCCCCATAGTTCTCCTTAGGGTAACGGGAGGACACAAACTAGCGTCCTCCCGTCACCCTAAGCTCAGTATACCGCGAGCGGTATACTGAGACGCCACAGTACACCTGAGACGCTGAAGCGGATCCCGACAATTATGTCTGGATCCGCCCAGCTGCGTGAGTGACAGCTGGCTCTGCCTATCTAGAGGCAGAGCCAGCTGTACCCGCCCCCATCCGATCCGCCAGTCAGCGCTGGCGGAGGGGGGAATCCAGCCCCTCCCCTATAACGGCAGAGAGCTGTGACAGGATCGAGAGGTGAGTGAACGCCGGTATCTGTTCTTCTCGATCTACTGAGCCGACCTGTGACAATCTCATTGTCACAGGTCGGCTAGAACTATGAGGTGAATGAAAAGCACTCACCTCATAGTTCTCCTTTAAGTTGGGTATACACGCTTATATTTTAGTTGTTTAACCTACAGGCTGAACAAAGAAGCTATAACAGCATGGATGGACGCATCTCCCGATGTGTGCTTTGTATTCTGATAGCATCCACCAGCCGCTGATTGGCTACAAGCACCGTTCAGCCAAATATTTTCCAACCTTTGATTTTCTGATCAAGGGAATTCAGACGGAATGGAGCTGACAGCAGCACCCACTGTATGGCCAGCTTAAGGAACATTCCCTTGCATTTATATCCACACAAGTACCACATGCCCTCATATCCAATCACCAAAGGTAGACAGATGATAATGTCCAAGAACAGGATGAGCGGTGTGAAATTTGTGAAAGCACCCTCTTCTAGTTAAATAATGCCACTCTTGGTGTCAGGAAGGCTTCATATGAGTTCATTTTTCAATTTACAACAAATTATACCTTAAAAGAGAATTATGGGGTAAGTGTTTTCCCCATAGTTCTCTTTAGGGCCACGGGAGGACATATACTAACCTCCTCCCGTGACCCAAAGCTCAGTATATCGTGGGCTATTGCCCTCTATATACTGAGAACGCCACACCCGGGACGCATCCCAACAATACCGTCGAGATCCACCCAGCTGCGAGAGTAACAGCTGGCTCTGCCCATCTCGAGGCAGAGCCAGCTGTGCCCGCCCCTTCTCCCCTATCTGACCCAGGACGCAGACAGATTGCGTCCAGCGTCTCCTTTCTTTCCCTAACTACAATGACAGGTAGCTCCTGTCAGCCTGTCATTGCTTTGTGCAGGCTTCCCGGCCACAGCTGTTTAAATACACCTTTAATCCCAGCTGCAGGAATCCACTACTTCTTCCGTCAGGAATCAGCTGCCCGGCCCTGATCACATGTGGTAATTAATCCTTTAGGACAATTCAATTCTTTAAGAAAATGTCGCTGTTAGCAGTCTAAGATTTGCCCCATTTTGTTCCTGCAGGTGAAATCACACAGTGATGTTGCTGCAGGTAAGTAAACACAAATGTCTTTGAAATCTTATTTTATGAGTACACGAACAAGCCTTATATCAGTAGTGCCCAACAAGCAGCCTGTAGGGTTCCCATGTGTGACCCCAGGTAAATAGCAGGCTTCTTTTATGGCCACATCACGGCACATTGTTACGTGCAAACTGGACTGCCCATTGTTACCTGCCCACTGGCTTGCCCATTGTTACCTGCACACTGGCTTGCCCATTTTTACCTGCACACTGGCTTGCCCATGGTTACCTGCACACTGGACTGTCCACTGTTATCTGCCCACTGGCTTGCCCATTGTTACCTACACACTGGCTTGCCCATTGTTACCTGCACACTGGACTGTCCACTGTTATCTGCCCACTGGCTTGCCCATTGTTACCTGCACTGGATTGCCCATTGTTACCTGCACACTGGCTTGCCCATTGTTACCTCGGCATTGGGATGGTGTCCCCATGCCGATGGGGAGAAGGGCCTCTTCCCCACAACCCTGACCCGGTTTGGGGGCTTATTTGCATCGTGGTACCCCTTTAAATAAGGGGGCACCCAGATGCTGCCCCCCCCTTGTGAATGAGTAAGGGGTACTTGTACCCCTATCCGTTCACTAAAGGGTTAAATCAAATTTTGACCCGACTACCCCTATAAAACGAAATTTCGTCCAAGAACGAAATTTCGACCGGTTTACCGCTAATTAATTATTGGGAATTCGGATTCGTTTGCATTCGTTTTAGCTGTAATTCGGATACATCCGAATTTCCAAAATCTCGTTCGAATTTCGTTTCGGAATGAAACTAATCGCACATGTCTACTTGCCAATGGGTAATCGCCCATTGGCATTTCCATGGTTGCCTGCCCATTGGCTTGCCCATATTTACTTGCCCTTTGGCTTGCCCATGGTTAACTGCCCACTGGATTTCCCATTGTTACCTGCCCATTGGTGTGCCCATGGTTACCTGCTCACTGGCTTGCCCATAGTTACTTGCCCTTTGGCTTGCCTATTGTTACCAGCACACTGGCTTGCCCATGGTTGTCTACATACTGGCTTGCCCATGGTTACCTGCTCACTGGTCTTCCCACTGGCTTGCTCATGTTTACCTTCCCACTGGCTTGACTACAGTTACCTACAAATTGGCTTGCCCATAGTGACTTGTAGGGATGCACCGATACCAAGTACAGTACTAAGTACAAGTACCGATACTTTTCCAGCTCCAAGACTAGACTAGAGAAAAATTCAAAAGTTAGCAGGCAGCTGTCATTTTTAAGGAGCACATGGAGCTCCTGGGATTTGTGCATCTCCGTTTTAATGTATGATTCTGTTTTTATAAATAAAGGGATGCACTGATACCAGTTTTGTGAGTACAAGTACTGATACTTGCCCAAGTACTTACAAGTACGAGTACTGATACATTTTTGTTTATTGTCATGTGACAGTTTTTCTAAAACAATACAGACTAATGATTTCAGGACAGTGGTGGAGCGCCAGAGCCAGGTCCCAGCTGCAACCGCTGCAACCCTGGTAGTCCTCATAAAAATGCCAAGTATCGGCACTGGTATCTGAACTGGTATCTTTACATCCCTGGTTACTTGTGCAAATGCCAGCCACATCCGAGCAACGGGATCCACATGTGTAAAGCAGCAAAGGGTGTCAATGAAAGTATGTGCTCCCAGCTGTAGGTGCAGTCTGCCTGCTGCACATGGGCAGTTGGGGACTGGAGAGCCCTGCAGATGCTCTCAATACCGCCCTACTGCTGGACAATGTGAAATGCTGGACAAGTGAAAAAAGATAAAAATGTTTTGTTATAAATTAATGCGATATGAATGGTTGTAAATGCAAAATTGCTCTGTACATAAAACCTCTTCAGGGCTCGTTCACAGCAGCTGCGTTGGTCTGCGTTGGACAGTGTTGCCTCACGCAGTAAACTGCTGACAGGAGAATTTGTTGTCCAATCAGTATGCTGGGTTGTGTCTTTGAATAAGCTGTACTAATGCAGTGTAGGTCATGGATCTGGCTGTGCTGCTGGGAAGGGCAGCTTCAATCACAACACTGGCTGGCTGACTGGCTTTTGACACCCCATACGTCTTCCATACACGTATCTCAGCAGTGTACGTACCTGCTTGCTTAAAAGTGAGCTTTTCTACAATCTGTTTGTGTTTTCCTACAGGACGTGAGGAGAAATCTAAGCAGCGATCAGAGCTAAGCAAATGTCAGGTAATTTCTATCAGTAACAGGGGGTCATTCTACACAGAATGATGTCAGCTATTCAGCACTGAGGAGACCACATGTTACAGAAGGACCTTCAATGTGCAACTAGAAAACCGCCGTGTATTTTGGGGCTTTTTGTAGATGACTCCATTTCTCTTGCCAGCATGACACCTCAGGAGCTTCTACACTCTACTATACTATGTACTATTACAGTTGACCTCACAGAAAAGTGTCTGGCCTACTATGTGTCACATTATTATAGGGTATGAGGTTTTTTTAAAAGAAGTCTCACTTCCTTTTTTTAATGTGTCCTGTCCCCCAAGGGACAAAGAGCATATAGCACTTTTACCCGTTTTCTATGTGGTGTCTGAGGCGAGCTGCATGGTTGAACAGGAGGCTCCCCCTCCCCCACTGCTGTCTGTCCATGCAGCTTGCAGGGAGATGAATAACAAATAAGCTTTAATTGGACAACGCTTGTCTCTTTTGCCTTGCCCTCACTATGCAGGGGGAGAAGGGATGTCAGGTAGCTTGCCAGTAAGCTCCCCTGTCCCCCAGCTTCCCCTTCACCAAGTTCCCCTGTCTAGTCCCCATTTTGCCTCACTGGCAGCCGGATCAGCCACCCAGCAATTGCTTGGATGCTGGCAAACAGCTTCATGCGTTTCAATGGTGTGGGCGGCCACTAGCACCATAATAACCAACAATGCTATTCAGCCCGGCTGCCTGCATTCTAGCAACCGATGACGCTGGATTGCCAGATGGCTTTTCCAGCTGAGCTGCAGTGAGGCAGAGTGTGGAACTGGGTGCTGCGGTTAGTCATGCCATAGTAGAAGTGAGGGTGCACGGCCATTGGCAGATTAAGGAAATGGTCAGTGTAAGCAACATCGATGCTCCCCACAGGAGGCAGTGCCATCTGAGCTTTGCCCAGGAGGGAATGAACATATAAATGTAACCACTGCTATCCCTGTAGTATCAATGGTTATATTTATATGCTCGTTCCTTCCAGCTGTCTCTAGAATTGTAACATTGTATCTTCTTACTAACAAATATATATTCCCCATGATCCTCAGCTCCCTCCAGTGGCCATAATACAGTATTTTCCCCATTCATTCTCTTCTTTATGAATATACCTAATGAAGAACCTTTTGACCAGAAGTGAAATTACACTAAGCACATTTGTTTTTGCCCCAATCTAACAACAGCCGGTTAACTTGCACAGAACAAATGTGCATGCAATTTTGCTGGACGAATGAGCTATGCACATGTTTGATAAATAGACCCCATGTGTCTACATGCTCATACACTCATGCATTACCGGCACTCGGCAGAGCAGTTCATGCATGCTATTGAAATGGTGGTGCTCTTCCACAGGCACAGACAGGATCGGGATTTTATGTTTAAGTAACTGACCATGGGACCGGGATGTAGATATTGTATGAGGCTTTCTGTTTTTACTACCACAGAACTGTTTTATGTTGCAGGAAATGGGTTTGGAGAGTAAACCTTGGTATGGAGGAGAGATGGAGCGCAGAGAGGCAGAGTGGGCTCTCCGTAGAATCAATAAGGTACAAATACATCTAGTAAGGACTCAACACGGAAGTAAAGAGAGAGGTGAACAAAAACAAAATCTCCCTGAAGCTTTTACCTATAATGTGTTACTATGCACAGCATATCAGTACATCATGGCAGACTTACCTGCCAAAGCGATCCCCTCCAGTGCTGCGCTTCAACCTCGCCATCGCTTCTATCTTCGCACTAATCTTCTGTGTCTTCAGTCTGTGGTCGCTTGATTGGCCAGACCCCGAAGGAATAAAGAAATGCTGAATGGCGCTTACATTTTATATGGTAGAAGACACCATAGAAATCCTACCAATCAGCATTTTTTTTTTAACCTTACTTCCACTTTAAAGAATTAATAATATACATTGGAGTATAATAAAGAGAAACTATGAACTGTATTTAAGAAGAACTCTGGGGAAAATCACAAACGTACCCTTTCAGTGGGGCTACCCCCTGTACTGCAAAGGTGAAGTGCTCATTTTATCTACTGGGCTCAAAAAAAGCAGATACACTCACCTGATCCTCAGTCCAGTGGTGGTCAGCACTCACCTCTCTCCTCCTCCGCTCCGGCTCTTCCTTGGCATCCTCACGTCTAATGCAAGTCAATGGACCTGCATAAGACACGATGATGGTCCTTAGGAGCCCTGGGGAGAAGAGACAGCGAGGACCAGCCTAGCAGCCGGTTGGATCGGGTGAGTATATCTGGTTTTATGCACGCCTAGAGCAAAACGAGCACTTAACCCTTGCAGTGCAGAGGTAGCCCCACTGCAAGCTTGAGTTTGTGATTTTTACAGAGTTCTTCTTTAAAGTGGATGTAAAGGTGCCCATACACTGCACGATTCTCGTACGAGAATCGCGGGAAATCCAGCGATCGTACGAGAATCGTGCAGTGTATGGAAGACGTGCGACCGTTTCTACTGTACGGTTGCACGTCTTCCGTCGAACCAGCAGGCTAGAAAACCCGCCGGGAATCGTACGATTCTCGGCGAGTTAGTGGCCTGCTGGTTCGACAACTGCCGAACGGGCCGGTGTGCTCACGCGCACACAGCCCGTTTGCAGTCATCTTAAGCTCGCCCCTCATTGCAGTCATCGTAAGCCCGCCCCTCAGCGGGGCAGGCTTGTGATGATCGCAAGTACGATCTGCCTGTCCAAGATGGGCAGATCGTACGTTTTTTTAAGTACTTTACAACCCTCGCAAGACAAAAGTCTTGCGAGGGTTGTAAAGTGTATGGGCACCTTTAGGTAAAAAAAATGCTGATTGGCATTCATACAGCCCATACTTTCTCCTTCATTATACTCCAATGCATATTAACTATATATTGCTGCACCTAAAAAGCTTCTAAGAAGAAAATGCCAATTATTATAATACCTTTGTTTATTACACGTGTAGGACGGATGTTTTCTGGTGCGTCAAAGCTCAGCACAAAATCAGCTGCACTCGTATACTCTGGCAGTGCTTTACCACGACCACATTTACAACATCCCGATCAGAACAGCAGGGACCCTGGGATTCTTATTAGGAAAAGAGGGCAAAAGGCATGAAGAGGTGAGTGATTGCATTGTTATTTGCCGCTGTCACATACTAACGCCAGGTACATCTCCAGCATGCTGGGTAGTGAGATAATGTGGGAGCTCCTGAATGGACAGTGCTGATTGACAGCTGTCATTGCAGCTCTAAATTTATAGAACCGAAACAGTGTTTGAAATGGGGTGCTAATTTTTGTTATACTGCTCATCTGCAAACCGAGAACCAAGTCCCTTGTGCAAAGGCTTTTCATGGATATATTTGAAATGTACCCTGGATAAGCCTAAGGGGTTGGGATGTTACATGGGGAATTGTATCACTTAATTCCTCTGGTCCTAAAGTGTACGTTAACCCTAACAATGAAGTGCTCCTATTTGCTCCCTTTCTGACTGTTACATATACAGCTGAAAGCATTTTATTATACTGTAGGCAGGGCTGTCCCAATAATGAGGCAGTCTGAGGCTGTTGCCTCAAGCAGCATTCCCTTGGGTCATGTGGCGGGACAGCAGGCAGAGTGGCATGGCCGCTCTGCAGCACAATGTTTGCAGTGTGCCTGCCGCACCCTTTCTGGCCAGACCATGCCAGGTTGCTAAGGCCTATAGGCAAGGTGATGAGTAAGGGCCATACACATCCTTGCCCAGCTCTTAACAACCTTGGATGCTCTAGCCGGCATCCCGCCCAGCACCTGGCAACCAAGGACATGACCAATGGCTGAAGCCAGAGCTGGGAAGGGAGATGATGCAGAGGCCCCCCCATTAGCGTGCACCATCAGTGCCTACTCCCACACCCACCAGGCACTGAAAAGTTTAGGGACACCCCTGAATGTACATATCTGTTCAGTAAGTGCAACTTTGGATCTAGGATCTAGGAGCTTACAGTGCTCTGCCAACTGGTATCAGTTAGCATTGTTCCCATTTCTCTCTGTGGCCTACAGAGCAACTCCCGCCCATGTTTTGGAGAGAGGGAGGTACATATACTATTGCTGTAACTGCTCAAAAGTGTTATCTGGAGTTCCGATTTCATTTATCACTCAAGTCCATCTAAATCTGCTGTTCTGTCTAACACTATCACGCAGCCCTCCCCTCAGGGTGACAATGCTGCTGTCCAAGGGTGGCTCTATTGCTCCTCCATTGAGTGGCGCAACCCTAAGACAGGAAGTGTACTACTGGCAGGATCAGTTGCTGAAAAAAAAAAGAAATGCAGCCATCACACCTAAAGACCGATTAGCTGCCATATATATTATAGTTTTGGTTTTGCCTTTAGATATGCTTTAAGTAATTCTATTGCCTGCTAGTAGCATGGCAGCTCTTTGGCCATATGGCACTCATGTGGTATGGTGACAGTCTGACCTATGACTAGCATAAGGTTCCTCTCCATTGGGAAGGCAACCTCTGGCCCTCCTGCTCAAAGAAAATACACTTCATATCCCATCATGCCTTTGCCTCTGGCTTTCAGAGACTTGCAATGCCTCATGGGGCTTATAGTGTGACAACAACTGGATGGCAGAGGTTGGCTACCCCTGTACATACATCAGTCCCTGCCCCCAGGGAGCTTAGAGTTTCGATCACGACCTTACATACACAGGTCAAAATTAGACAGGAGCCAATTAACCTACCAGCATGTCTTTGGAGACAACACAGGGAGAACATGCAGACTCCATGCAGATAGTGTCCAAGCCTGGAAGTGAACCGGGGACCCCAGTCCAGCAAGGTATAAATGCTAACCACTGAGCTGCCCATGTAACATAATAAGATTTTACATAGGTTGCCATGTAACATAAGGATTTTGGTCCGCCGTGTCTATGTCACAAATATATTGCTGTTATATAGGTCACCTATTTGTTGTGTTTGTTGCTCCTGTGAGCAGGTACACAGTGTTCCTGCCAGGAAATATGGAAACATGGCAAGACTTTACCTGTGCTGTTACCGTAAATGATTGTTGTACCCGTTCACAAGTTGTGCAATCAAATTTATTTTCATCAAAGACACAAATGTTGTGTTTGTAGAATTGATTTGGTAACAATGTATTTCTATGGCTCCTCCCCAGAGAATGCTGTCCTTGGGGCTCTCAGATAACCTACATAAGGAGGGCTGATAGACTAGTATCAGCATGTATAGGAAAGTGACTACATAACAGGCCTTATATCACATGCACGCGTACGGATTATTTAACACAACGGTTACTTAACTCACTACAAAACTTTACCCTGGAGCAGATCATTACAGCATGACGTGTATTCATTCATTCATGTAGGTGTGAGAAGTAGAAGGGAGGCAACGGACTTCTGTACTCAGCCATCAAAAACACACAGCTTGGTTTTTATGGTTAGGACGTTGGGAATCATTTCAGCAAAAAGTTGTATCAATGGCTTTTATCCTTTGGGACTCGATGTGTTGCACACTTTACAGATCTTTGGTATGACAGAGGTGTGACATCATCTGCGATCACAAAATAGGTTAAACAGTAGGAATGCACCGATACCAAGCACCGTACTCGGTACCAATACATGTACAGATACTTTTCCAGCTCCAGGACTAGACTAGAGAACAATTCAAAAGTTAGAAACCGGCTGTCATTTGTAAAGGTGCCCATACACTGCACGATTCTCGTACGAGAATCGCGATGCCTGTTTGCAGTCATCGTAAGCCCACCCCTCATTGCAGTCATCGCAAGCCCGCCCCTCAGGGGGGCGGGTTTGCGATGATCGCAAGTACGATCTGCCTGTCCAAGATGGGCAGATCGTAGGTTTTTTTAAGTACTTTACAACCCTCGCAAGACAAAAGAATAGACCCCTAGGTCATTCGTCCAAAATTCGAGCTGTAGGAAGCCCTGTTGGACCCTCCCAGATCAACAAACTTTGGTTACAAACTTAAGGAAGAACTCAAAGTAAACCAAAAACGTACCCTTGTAGTGGGGTTACCCTGCACTACAAGGATTAAGTGCTCGTTTTCTTTAGGGGACTCAAATAAAGCTTACTCACCTGATTCGTGGTCCTGCTGTGGTTGTGGTTTCCATTGCAGTAGTGTTTCAGATAAAAGCACTGCTTGATATTACACAGCATCACCATATACTGCAAACAGTTCCGGTGGATCTTCTGAGCCTTGTGGTTCCCCATGTACCAGGGCTAAGGGGTTTCATTTACCTCCATGATAAACAGAGGTTGCTATGTGCACAGAGAAGAGGCCACAAACTGAAGAGGACAGAGAAGAGGTCACAGACTGAAGAGGCCACAGTTTGAAGAGGCCACGGATTTGGGAGGTCACGGATTGAAGAGGTCACGGATTGAAGAGGTCACGGATTGAAGAGGTCACAGATTGAAGAGGTCACAAATGGAAGTTGTGATGGATTAAAGAGGCCACAGATTGAAGAAGCCATGGGTTGAAGAGGTCACAGATTGAAGAGATCAGATTGAAGAAGCAATGGATTGAAGAGGCCACAGATTGAAGAGGCCACAGATTGAAGAGGCCACAGATTGAAGAGGCCACAGATTGAAGAGGCCACAGATTGAAGAGGCCACGGATTGAAGGGGTCACGGATTAAAGAGGTCACGGATTGAAGAGGTCACGGATTGAAGAGGTCACAAATTGAAGTTGTCATGGATTAAAGAGGCCACAGATTGAAGAAGCCATGGGTTGAAGAGGTCACAGATTGAAGAGATCAGATTGAAGAAGCAATGGATTGAAGATGTCACAGATTGAAGAGGCCACAGATTGAAGAGGCCACAGATTGAAGGGGTCACGGATTGAAGGGGTCACGGATTGAAGAGGTCACAGATAGAAGAGGTCACGGATTAAAGAGGCCACAGATTGAAGAAGCCATGGGTTGAAGAGGTCACAGATTGAAGAGATCAGATTGAAGAAGCCATGGATTGAAGAGGTCACAGATTGAAGAGGTCACAGATTGAAGATGCCCAGATTGAAGAGGTTAGAAATTAAAGAAGCCACAGACTGAAGAGGTCACAGATGTTGTGCAGGGGTTACATTGTATAAAATAAACCCTCTTGCCCTCTCTTTATTCTCTGATCTGCAGTGTCTCCTATGATGAAGGTGTTAGTGTACCCAATACCATCAGTTGCTATCATATAAATGTAGTGGTAGGCAACCTTGGCACTGACTGTTGTGAAACTACAAGTCCCAGGAGGCATTGCAAGACTGACAGGGACAGGCATGACTCCCAGAGGCATGATGGGATTTGTAGATTCACCACACCTGGAGTTCCGAGGTTGCCTAACCCTGTTCTAATGTGTTGCTGTGTTTCTGTTCTCATGTCTAATGTCTGTACCTCTGTGTTCTCCTCAGGTGTTCCCCAGTCTCGTGCATCTGATTGAACATTATCAGCGAGAACTGCTCTACCTGGTGAACCGTCAGACTTCAGAAAGAGAGTCCACCACTTTGCTGTACCCTGCGCTCCTATGAGACGTCTCTGCGCCCGTGGCCGTCCCTCTATAAATCACTCCTAGAACACAACTACCACGGCACTTCGTGTTCACCATTCTACAGTCAGTGTACAACTGTCACCAAGGATGTTATTGTTTCTATGGCCAGAAAGGCCAAATGTCCTACTTCTTCTAACATGGCCTAGTCCCTTGGTTCTCAACTGGTGGGTCGTGACCCAAAAGTGGGTCGCAACCCTGTGTTCAGTGGGTCACCACATGCCTTCCACTACACAACGTGAGAGGCTGCTCTGCCTCCCTCAACGCAACACTGTAAATTCTCATGCCAAGCAACCATTCAAAATATACTTCCCGGTGCAGAGTGTCAGCTTGAGGTGGGATTAGATGGGGCTATGGCCGTGAGGGAGCTCCATCCATACATGCATTGCTTATGGTACCGCAATGCCGAGCTTTCCATTGGAGTGTGACTTGGGTCACGACTTAATGACCAAGGACAAATGTGGCTCCTGAGGTTACACAGGTTGAGAACCACTGGCCTAGTCCATCTTCTGCACTATTATACCCTATCTCTGATTTTCTCTCTTACATTAAGTTCGCAAGAGCAAAACTTCTTTATTTGACCCTTAGGGAAACTTGGTGGCCAACGTCTCACTCTCCAAATGCTAGTTTGCCTGGTTGTCATGCCATTCCTCTTGCTTCAATACAGTGTCAGTGCATTAGAGAGCATAGGGGGCACTAGGCCAGTATAACAGCCAGGCAATAGGCATTTTCAGTAACAAGTCACCAATGACACCTTCCATATTTCTCTTGGTAAAGGTTTATTTTAAAGCTGAACTCTAATGCAGATCTGTAACCATGAATGCATTAATAAATGTATTTTTCAGATGCAAGCGGTTTAAGTACCTGAATCTGACCTGGTATCAAAATGATTTCATTAAAGGGATAGAAGGCCGGAGTTATGAGGACCGCTTCCAGCAATTACTTGAACTAAAGAAATTATATCCAGAGACCAAACCCTATTTGACCCATTATTGAGTGAAACGCAGATTATGGCACTCAACAACCCTTGAACTGTATGTAATAGACTCAAGGAAAGGGGGATGATACTGATCTAAAGGAGATCAGAACAAAAGACAGTTATAAAGGGGTCGGAGTGTCAACTGTAGTATAAAAGTATAAATCTTTATTAAACATCATTTAGACACAGCAATTAGACTGATTCATCTTAGAGAAAAGGCGCTTAACCACTTGCTGACCGTGGCGTTACACCCCCTTCCTGGCCAGGCCATTTTTCAGTATTCAGCGCTGCGGTACTTTGACTGACATTTATTCCGTCATACAACGCTGTACTGAAATGAATTTTATACCATTTTTTGGGGGCAGATAGAACTTTCTTTTGGTGGTATTTAAACACCACTGGGGATTTTATTTTTTACTATATAACAAAAAAAGTACAGAAGATTAAAAGGAAAAAAAAATGTTTTCGCTATAAAATGTTATGAAACATTTATTATCACCCCAATTTTTTGCTAAAATATAAAAGACGGGGTCACGTCGGGTAAATAGGCACCAAACATGACAAGCCTTAAAATTGCGCATGCCCGCAAAATCGCAAAAAACGACCACACCAATAATTGACCATAGGCGACGCTTTAAAAGCTTTTACCGCTCAGTTTAGTGTTATCAGTGATTGATGGCCCTAAAATTATTGATGTTTGCAT